TAGCGATCATTAATCTGCAAGGGAGGTACTACCGAATCGTCTTCACAGTAGTCTACTAGGGGCAATGCGCGCTACTTTACACCTTTGCAAAGTGACGTCCGCAGAAGGACTCACGAATACTGAAATCGGAATATCAAGGGCACGCTGTACATCGAAAGATTCGCCTTGGCGAGCTGAGCACAATGCTTGTTTCGGATTCAGAATACATTCATTCCGAAGGAAGTAATGACAAATAGAATTTGATAACGCATGATTTTTCCAGAATTCACCAACGCTTATTTTCTTCTGGAGAGATATCTGCAGCTGTACTTTAGTGCGCTATAATCTACAAGAACCGCACTATCGAATATTACTTACTAGTATCTTTTATGTTAGATAGGGGCTGCGTTACATCCTAGCAAACAGAGCTCCGCGGAAGAATTTGAGAAAACTGGAAACGGAATTGGATGCAGAATTTATTCATTCTAAATGGAGTTATGGCTTTATGTTGCTTGCGTGATTCGCGTGATTCAGCGGAAATCCCGGAATGTCGCAAAACTTTCAGAACGTTACGGACTTTCGCAAAACCCCCGAAATTTCACGACATACAAAGAAAATCTGCATTTTTGTGAGCTATTGTGCAAGAAATAGAGTAGAGCATAGGAGAATTCAAAAAGACTTCGATACGGAGGCAAAAGCCTATGTACGCGCATCGTTCGCGGTGTGGACTTTGATAGAAAGATGCTCGAGCACGCCGTTTGCGCCGTTTCGCACCTTAGACCGATCGCCTTCGTGGATCTGGATTTGTATATCATACGCAGGAAACAGAACCTGTTGACAGACGATTCCTTCACAATTTATAGAGCGGTGAATTTTTCTGAAAAAGCAATGTCTCCAAGGAGACGGCGTCATGCGCATGATGAGCAATCAATCGATTGTTGCAGTGGAGGATCTATCTACTGCACCGAATGCGCAGTTGAACCGAAAAAGCCTGTAGATCACATTCTGTAAGAGATAGAGCTCAGCGATAAAAGCTCAGCGTTTTCTAAAGTACCTTTCTATAGTATGTCAAAAATAATCCAATTTCTATCATCAGTGATAAATGATAAAATGATGATATCAATGACAACGACAGATAAGAATGGCTTAAATTCATGCGGTCGATTCCCGTTCATCTTCCATATAGGTGCAGAATTTCAGCCCAAGCTTCGGCGTGAAGCGAGTTGGAGCAAAAATGCCATTTTAGGTAAGAATTGGCAGCAATGGCATGTGCCGATGAGAAATCGATCGATTGCTGCAGCGAGGGATCCACCAATTGACCGAACAATAGAACTAGGAAATCCTGTAGATCACTTATAATGAGAGAAAGAGCGATAGAAATTTGCACAGCGTTTCCTACAACATTTTTCTTACCATACGCCAAAAATGATCCAAAAATGTGACATTATCAGTGATAAATGATAAAATGCTTATATCGGTGATAAGGGTAAATAAAAACTGCCCAAATTTTCGCGATAGTTTTCGATAATGAGAACTTCGTACCAGAACCTCCTATTCGCGATTTACACTGTGTTAGATGTTCACAAAAGCCTTAACATAGAAAACAGCAAGGTATCACCATATGTCTACCGTGTCACTATGAACTGCGGACATATTGTATACCAGAAGATTCGTCTCATCAAGCTGAAGCCAAATCTTCCCGCAGAATACAAATAAAGCTGTTTTGAAAGAAGTTATAGCTAAATCCCGCTTATCCCGCAAATCCCGCGAATCCCGCAAATCCCGTGAAGTCGCGAATCCCGCGAATCCCGCGAATCCCGACAATCCCGCAGTTTTGGACAAATTCTACCGCTGCAACTGTATGCAAGAAGCATGCAAATCAGCTGCGACATCGAAGCGATAGTGAACAAGTCGCCGTACGACAACAACTTCAGCAACAATCCGAAGCTTTGAAGATACTGTTAGATATTCTGACAGAAGACGACACACTATCGAGGAATGGCAATGCTGCTGAAGAGAGTTCCGAGCAAGCGATCGCCAGGGATTTGCCAGCACCGGTGGATTCAACGACGTCGACGTCGACATCAAGCCACGAGCCCTCCACGCCACCACAACGCTTCGCAGGTCGAGCAGAACGAGAAGACCTGTACAACGGTTCCAACCTAGTTATATGTTATTGTATGTTTGTTTCATTAGTTTATTTTTGTTGTTTAGGTGATAGTGATGTCTTTTTATGACCGATTTCTTAGCTCTTCCAGTTCATGTTTTTTTATCGTAGGCTAGTTTTGTGTAACTACCCTACTGGGGGAGGTGTTGTATTAGTGCCTGATCAGTTGTTTCCTCGTATTCTGCCCCTCGCTGAGGCGCCTGCGACCTCAATGCGCGGGAAATGAGCGCTATAAAAGGCGCTCGCTGTTAGCCATTGTCAGTTCGTCTGTTCACTCATCTGCCTCTCTTATTTTTGGCTGTTCTATTATTTTCTAATAAATATTCTCTGTTTCTCGTGTGCTGCCTCAGGACGAAGAGTCGACGTGTCCGACGTGGAGGACACAACACCTATAATTTGAGAGAGCCTAACTTTCGCTCAAATGTAATAGGATCGCGCGAACTTTGCTCATTATACAATACCACTCTCATAATGTGCAAAATTTCCGTGAATGTCGCGAAATTCCGAAATTTCCGCGAACTTTCCGGAATTTCGCGAAATTCCGGGAATGTCGCGAAGTTTCGCAAAATTCCGGAAATTGGAGACATTTTCGCAATTTCGCGACATTTACGAAAATTTTGCACATTCTGTGAGCGGTATTGTATTCGACGTGCTAACAACATTTCTTACATTGTTTTGCTGCTAGTGACACATTGTAGGATAGAATATCTGCCAACACGACTTTCGAATTTGAAAGACAATTCATGAGAAGGCGATTTTGTAACACCATAATCTGACGAACAATTCAAATAAAGATCTGTGCTAAGCATGGTCCGATAGAGGTGTTCACAAAGTTTTGTACTCACAAAAATTTGCAGACAATTTCCGCAACAGGTGGGCGAAAAGTGCAGGCGAAGTTGCGATCTTGATTGATTTAGCTACTTCTATCTCACTTTAGCTTTACTGTAAGACTCTCTAGTGCAAAATAAATAGGATTTTCGTAAAGATCGGGACCAAAAACCACTATGAGCGAAGTTTCCGGTCAATCCGAGAACCTAATATTTTGAACCAAATCTTGCGCCGAGGCCAAGAGTGAGGAGCGAGAAAAAATCAAGTGCTACTAGTTCCTTAGAAAATCAAACCATAGATGTTATCCGACCCATTGATTACAAAAAAACACATCTGATTAGCGAGATAGCTTCTTTCTGTAGGACTACGGTAGATAGATTTTAGGGAAATGTCGATTTTTTCGAAATTTGCTAGCTCCGCCCACTTTTGACCCCGCCCACACCCAAGTCTCCACCCACTTTTCCCCCACCTTCCCATTCCAACCCATCCATGCCTGGGCCACTAACCCGCCAATAACCACCAATGAACCACTTCTGACCGATTTATACATAGAGATCAAAGATCAAATTAAGAAAAACTATCTCCAGATACTATAGGGCAGCGCCCCTTCACATTCATGCTGCTGTCCAACTTTCTTCATCAGCTGATAGCGCATCAAATGTTGTATCGAAATATTGCTATGCCAGCGCCTTGATTATTCTCCTGAAATTATCATTTCATTTTGATCTATCATAAAGTTTTCCGAAAAATTTCCAAGTCCAGAACCGTTCTTAGATCAGCCTCTTGTGTATTTGACATCCATTTCTTCTGTAAATTTTTTGGTATAACCCCTTCGAATATAAACACAAATACGGGTATCCGGACACTTCGTTCCCATTTTCCACAAAGATATGCATAAAAATGTACATTGGCTTTCTTATAAACCCTCGCTTATAAAAGCGTTCAAATCCCGCTTTTATCATAGAAAGAAAGAGCTCACAAAGTTGCATATAAATGACTTCATAGCATTTGCCCATCAGCGCTAGTCGCGGTGATATGCGGTCACTCTCGCACCGTAATTAGCAAATCTCGCACCTCGGCTGTCAATTATAATACCACTCTCATAATGTGCAAAATTTCCGTGAATGTCGCGAAATTCCGAAATTTCCGCGAACTTTCCGGAATTTCGCGAAATTCCGGGAATGTCGCGAAGTTTCGCGAAATTCCGGAAATTTCGCGGAATTTTCGGAATTTCGCGACATTTTCGGAATTTCCATTTACGGAAATTTTGCACATTCTGTGAGCGGTATTGTATAGCCGATGGGCGATTGTGCGATGAAGTGAAGTTTGAATTTTACGGCTTATTTCTGTGAGAAAAATTTGCTAAAAAACTTAAAGTACCCATTTTTCTCAGTATTTTGGAAGATCCTAAGGAAACTGCCTTTTTAAAATTTTTTGATTTTTTTCTCTTCGAAAAGACGATGAAATGTTGCGTTTATTCTAACGTTAGTTGCATTAGATCTTCTCTACGTGTACATAGCGAAGTTTTACAGTTGCTTTTTCCTTGAGTTTTTTATGCAGCTTAGAGGGGCCTCAGCGACCAGCCAAGTTTGAGACAAGATTTCACAGCTCGAAATTTTTCAACAATCTCATAGAGACAAGCGTTTTGTGGCACAAAACTTAGCAATCATTATGCATATTTTTTTAAGAAATCCGTCTACTCTTCATGGATTTAGAGAAAGGAGAGTGAAGAGAGAGAATTTCAAATTTTAATTACTTGTCTTTGAAAGCATAGAACTTCGGCTTCAACAAAGATTTGCGAAAACGAAAGCATACATCAGAAACTAACGGAATCGGTCTTTCCGACACTATGAAGGGTTTTGGAGAACAATGTTTTTTCTTTGAAAATCAGCTCTCTCTTAGAAAAACGTGCATTAATTATGAGATAACCTAATTTAATAGTAGCAACACCTAATGCGGAGAATAGCTGACGCTGTTTTCTAGGGATGCTTTTTCAAAAAGAGTTTCAATTCTTCTTTTTATACAAATGTTACAGACGGACATCATCGTAAACGGTTTCGTTACAAATCCTGTAGATGAAATTGACGATTCGAAGGAGTTTGCATGTTGGTCTTTTTCTGCAGCGGTCTAGCTTTTTTCTCCAGCCGATTTCTTCAGGTCAACTCTCTTTCTTGAAAAAAGAGGAGCAGGTCTCCTCATCGCAAAATCTATTTGAGCTGGATGATACGTATGAAGATCTGCTTCCAATCGAAAAGGTTTGCTTACAAAATAGTTTGTGCGTGTAATAAGGACGTGCTTATGGTATTTACTTCCCACATGTTCCTACCATAAACAGTTTGCGCCGGTGGCTGAATGGTTTTTTAAATGTGGGAATGACTCATTTTGCTCAAAAGATTTCAAAATAATTGTTGCGTAATATTGTTTGATTTTTTCTATGCCACAACAGGTTTTTATCGGAACTCTTTTTATTGAGCCTTACGTTTCGGCGGAAAAACGCCGTCCTCAGAGGCCTGAAAGCGATTCAATCACTTCCATCAAACGCTTTATGCGACCAAACGCCTTAACCAACTCGTACGTTTGATTCGTCTAAAGTGATCGAAGTCTAGCGTCCACGCCGAATTGACTTACCAAGAGTTCCACAGAAGAGCACGACAAAATTTCTTTCGGTCGCCTACAGGATATGGTGACAATGAACAGCCCAGCTGAGTTGGACATGTTTATGTAGCTGTAGGTTATCTAGAAACCGCAAAATGATAGGAACGGCTTAAGATCATTTGTGATCGACAACTGTTCATTCTTGCTATTCATTTTCGGATTTCGAGCAAGAATGTATGCGGCTTCCAACGTTTTCCGAGCTGAGATGTTATCCTCGACTGCCAGTATGTTACAACTTATTTCAAAATCTTCGCCTTCATGGTCCTCCTTTCTATGTTTCCCCAGTGGGCTCACGAGGCTCTGTCTTCGTTTGCTGGCCAGATGTTCATTTACACGCACTGAAAGTGGCCGACCTGTCCCACCGATGTAAATGGCCCGGCATGTTTGACATTCCAACTGATAAACTACACCACTTCGTGAGCACCGTGAGACCCCTGACCTCCCATTTGTGCACACAATGCAGTTTTGTCACTTGCAAGCTTTATCGTACAATCGATTTCGAACCAGTTGTTTTACCAGACAGAATTGCATGGTTCCTGAACAAGATTGTCAGCCAACTCTTAAGTACGATCCCCGCTCATCTGCCGAATACCAATCGCTTCCTTGAACAATTACGCAATGCGAATTTCGATCAGCATTGTGTAATAGAGTCTTTTGATGTGGAGTCATTATACACAAATGTGTCTAATGATGACGCCTTACAGGCACTTTCTGAGCTCCTCGATTCAGATATTACAAATATGGAAACTTACGGACTCAGTAAAGTACGCATCATTACTCTTATCAGGGAATGCCTTGGATGTAATATCTTCAGATGGGCGGGCAAGTATTATCAACAACTAAGAGGGCTGGCAATGGGGCAAAGACTAGCTCCGGTGCTTGCTATCTGCTTTATGAGCAAGATAGAAGAGCCCATGTTAACGCGACGTCCCCTTTTGTACTGCCGCTATATAGACGATTGTTTCATTGTCACATCGACTCAGTCCGAAATGGACGAGTGCTTCAAGATCTTCAATGAACAATCGCAGTACATTTGCTTGACCAGAGAAGAACCACACGATGGCTGGCTACCCTTTCTCGACACACAAGTGATGTTGGCTAAAGGCACTGTACACATTAAATGGTATCGGAAAGAGAGCAGCAAGAACATCATTCTGCACGCGACCTCTGCACATCCAACTGCCGTGAAACGTGCGGTTATCCGCAACATGTTCAAAACAGCAACAGCGTATGCAGCGGCGAAAGTGAAAGACTTGAGTCTCTGGAAATGGCACGCGTCATTGTTTCCAACAACGGGTACCCACTGCACCCCAAAACCTCCAGGCGAACACGCGTGAACGCAAGCAACCGAAGTCGAACACGCATTCCTTTGTGCTTGCCGTTCGTATCCGACAGAGTGACCAATGCAGTTAAGCGATGTATAGCGCAAGCGCAGTTGGAGGATGATGTTGTCTTAGTGAATATACCACAAGATAGCATCAGAAAACAACTGGTTCGAAATCGATTGTACGATAAAGCTTGCAAGTCACAAAACTGCATTGTGTGCACAAATGGGAGGTCAGGGATTGCTCATGAAGTGGTGTAGTTTATCAGTTGGAATGTCAAACATGCCGGGCCATTTACATCGGTGAGACAGGTCGGCCACTTTCAGTGCGTGTAAATGAACATCTGGCCAGCAAACGAAGACAGAGCCTCGTGAGCCCACTGGGGAAACATAGAAAGGAGGACCATGAAGGCGAAGATTTTGAAATAAGTTGTAACATACTGGCAGTCGAGGATAACATCTCAGCTCGGAAAGCGTTGGAAGCCGCATACATTCTTGCTCGAAATCCGAAAATGAATAGCAAGAATGAACAGTTGTCGATCACAAATGATCTTAAGCCGTTCCTATCATTTTGCGGTTTCTAGATAACCTACAGCTACATAAACATGTCCAACTCAGCTGGGCTGTTCATTGTCACCATATCCTGTAGGCGACCGAAAGAACTTTTGTCGTGCTCTTCTGTGGAACTCTTGGTAAGTCAATTCGGCGTGGACGCTAGACTTCGATCACTTTAGACGAATCAAACGTACGAGTTGGTTAAGGCGTTTGGTCGCATAAAGCGTTTGATGGAAGTGATTGAATCGCTTTCAGGCCTCTGAGGACGGCGTTTTTCCGCCGAAACGTAAGGCTCAATAAAAAGAGTTCCGATAAAAACCTGTTGTGGCATAGAAAAAATTAAACAATATACTATCAACATGAAAAGGTTCAAAGAAAGGAGAACTTATGAAGTACTTCGAAACATGTTGCGTAATAATTTTTACGTAAAAATTTTTGCGTACCACCAGCCTCTTTTTTTCTCAAAAAATCATGGTTAAGGCCCGCAGAAAATTTTGCAGGGCTCTTCCTTATGATTTTGATAGAAAGGGCAAAGCGGTAAAGTCTCAAAATTTTTTAATTTTTGGAAATTTTCTTTTCAAATCTACCACTAAAAGTGAATCACATGCGCAGTTCTATGGCTCATGTGTTATTTTCAAACGATCCATTTTTGAGGATGGCAAAGGCCCCTCGGTCCTCCCTGCTTGGGTAGCATCTTATCGTTAGCACAGAAAGTATACTAACCTTTGCAGCATACGCCAAGTCTACATCCAATGCTCTCACCTGCTGATCGTAACTCTGGATCTCCTCAACTGGGTAGTTTCAATTTATGCATTTCTAAAGTAATTTAGCTTCGTCAAACATTTTTGTAGTGGCTGATACACCACAAAAGGAACCACCAACGCAGTCTTTTACAAAGGATGCAAAAGAGAACCGACTTACGGAGTTGAAACAGATTTTGCATTCGGACAACTGGATGATGGCGAAAGTAAATTGATTCATCTATTGTTGATAATCGATTGAGCTTGTTGAGCGTCGACCAAAGTATTAACACACTTTATTCACGGCCAACGTTTTGGCGGGATCGCCTTCGTCAAAGCCTAGCGTCAAGTCGAAAACATAAGTGAAAACATTCTCGTAGACGCCAAGGTTCTAGCTCAAGACGAAAATCGAATTGGAGAGAGGCAATGGCAAAGGGAGATCGGGCAACCAAGACTCACCTTCGATAACATGTGATGATGTGTTAGACCACCATATACTCAAACTATACCTCCTTCCCTTTTTATAGTGCTCGAATAACCTGACCTCATATCAAAATCCACAGAGGTATTGATATGGCGCCAGTTCATTGGTGACGGCTGTGCACTCTTTCTTCCGATTCATCTTTGGATTCCTGGCGTTGATCCAGAACGCTTCCAAAGTTTTGCGCGCTAGGAGGTCGGGCTCGCACGCTAATATAGTCACTCCAATACTAATCTCAGCATTTTCATGGGACGAAATGCGATTGAATGAATCGATTCATTGATTCATTTATCGACGTTAGCGACTGTTGAAGGGATGAATTCCGAAGCGAGAAAATCGCTCTATAAGGTAGAAACCGCGCTTGTGACTCTGCCTATCGGTGTGGGTTGTCTAAAGATAATAAATTCAAAATTGTGCTTTAATACGTCTGGAGCCGAAAATTCGCTCTTCTCTATGATAAAATCATTTTTCGACCTTTCTATTATAATTACTCTGGAGCGCCCTTTTGACTCATCTTCAGATCACCCTTTTCGATGAGCAGTGTCACCAGCACCATTTTCACTATTGATACGGTTTTCTCACTTTTGAATTCACCCTTTTGCAGATGACTTTGGCGTAAACTTAGCTAAGGCCCCTTACTAAACAGTTCAAAATCTTACCAACTTCAATTTCGGTAGAAAATCTTCTAAGGCCCTTTACTAAACAGTTCAAAATCTTACCAACTTCAATTTCGGTAGAAAATCTTCTAAACCTCAAGCATCTGGTTGCTTTCCTTCACTGAGTAGATTTCTGTGGAACTGTCATATAAGTGCCGAAACGATGTGCATTGTAAATTCTATTTATAACTACAGTGTCAGCAACTGGTGGAACCTTTATGGAGCAAAATATGCGCTAAAGGTTTTATACTTCCGTTGTATGATGATTTCGTTGCCGTCCCAGTTGTGCCAGAGGAGATAACAATAGAAGGCGAAGATGAGCAGCTTTTGGTCGAAAATCAGACGTAAATGCTATCCTTTTTAAGGAGTTCGATGTATCAGTTCCAGGTTCTTGATTTGGGCGACTATAATCGAATTAGCGTCAAAAATGTGGCCTGAATCGCAAACGGAAAAAATAAGATTGAGTTCAAAAATGCTTCCCATTCCAAAAAATGAGGAGGAATTCTGTGAGAAAGCAACTGACTATGTGCTAGAACAACTCAGTGGTCAGTTTTTACTGGTCACTTCACCTGAACCCCGAATTGAGCTACATTTTCGGATGTTTTTATAGAAATGCCTCCTTCGCATCGTTATAATCGAATTTCTCTTCCTCCACCATCTCCATCTGCTGATACATCCGTGGACAAAGCAATAGCAAGGCACGAGTATCAAAAAGATGTCCACAGTTTTGTAGGTTTTAGCTCATTCTAAGTAAACTAGCGAATTATGACATCTGAATTTCATCAACTTGAGCTGCAAATGATTAGTTTAATGTTGCTATCTTTGTTCCAACGGTATACCAGGGCCCGGCACGAGGTGGGCAAATGTCATTCTAGAAATCGTTTAGGATTTAAAGAAAAGGGGATATCGTAACTAAACGTTTACATGTACATATATTCTCAGGAAGTTGCTACTTGACTGTAAAATACGATGACATGCAAAAACACGATCTTGTTCGCGCGTCGTCTTCAAAAATCCAATTTGTTTGGGGTGTAATTAATTGTCTCGGTTAAAGCGCACATCTAACGATATGACTAAGAATTTGGAGTATACACGGGCATGGACTAGGAGAAGCATAGTGCAGTACATCGTGGAAAATTTTTTTTGAAATATGTTTACAACCACAACGTGATAGACAGGAAAATTTTCTCCGCTGCCTTTCAGTGGCGGTCCCTGGATTTCCGCCGGGGGGAGGGGGGGGGGGGGGGGAGGGGAGAACTTTTCGAATCATAGGCGTGCGTTAGCCGCCGCAGCTTTATTCAAGAATTTTGCGAGCCCATACGAGAAAAATTTTTTATAGCTCTAATTTGGATTTTCAAAAATTTTGAGAATTATCCTGATTGTTTACAAATACAGACAGGTCACTTACGCATACTTATGACTCGAGTAGACAATTTTCACAAATTTCGCGACCCATTCTCGGGGGAAGGAGGGGGGGGAGGGTCAACAAGAGAAAAGCTCATTCAAAACGTTCTTTAAGTTCTGGAAACTCTTGACATGCAAAGGCACAAAAAGCCTCTTGCTTGTTCTTTTCTTTTCATTTTTCTACTTGGTTGTATCAATTAAATTTGAAAACTGTATGGAATGGCAGTGCCAACTCAGCAATGTCAGGTTTGGGTCATCGACTTTCGAACACTTTGTAATTTTTCCATTCACCACTTAGTACAATCTGTTGTATTAGCTTCTTCATAGTATATCGGAACTTATAGTGAAAATGTTTGGTTCCTGCAAACAAGTTTTAAGAAGAACGCTCACATAGCTCGCTATCAAGGGACACTGGGTCTCAGCACCATCAAATTGTTAAAGATAGGGACTTTATGTCGCCTATGGGCTCTACCTGCGCGGACAGCTGACACAAATTTGTAATGTCTTACAAAAGGAGCTGCGTGGTCTTTCGCAGCTATCCGCTTGGGAACACCCCTTCGGCGATCCCTGATCCTTGCTTCGAAAGGAAATAGGAAGAGAATCATCGTTCGTCCTAATCAGGTGGCGAGTTTTGAACGTACTCATAATACTAGCACTAGTAAATGAGGTTACAGAATGAACCTGAGCCTTTACAGAGACTGGTCACACATTTGGACTATTTGGCTATCTCTTCCATTGCTCAATATCCTAAATTGGTCGTCATTTGCCATCGGACCGCTGTCGCCTCCCCATTCTCTAAACCACAGTGAAAAATATCGCCGCCTTTCCTAAGAATATCAATTGCGTTTCTCTAGTCATAGTTAAATGGAGCTCTTGCGCGAGAAGCTATTTTTTTGCAACTTTTCGAGGAATAACTGCCTAATCATGTCAGTTCTAATAAAAACTGATGATTACAACCTCTAAAATGTTGCAGGTACAAAAGAACAAGAACGGAGCTAAAGTGGAAATTGGATGTTCCACTGGATTTGCTACACGGAAAACTGCGTGTATTCTTTTGTAAACAAACAGTCATGAGGAAATTATCTATACGGAATAAATAATGGCATAATTGTGCTGTATGTAAAAGCTGCTGTGTTAATACGACTAGCTTCAACATGCCTGGCATGTTTCATCAACCGCAAATGTGCAAGTCTGCAAAGGAATTGACCCCGAAGAGGGATTCATAAAACAACTCTGGTCAACTGCGCAGGATTCAGGAAAGTATTTCAGAGTCGAATAGCTTATGCACTGCGCATTTGCCTGTTAGCTCACAAACGTTCAGGGCACATTCTCAGGAGTGACTTGCGAACATCAGTGTAGCAACTTGTCCCTTTCATTTCTCTTTAAAATCACTATGGCAATGACCCGTTTGACATGAAGACAATCTTTCGGGCACACGATTCAGCATGAGGTGGCAAATGGAAACTTAAGAAATTTGGATTTCGTATTTTACGATTTCCCACTATCGCGCCAGATAACGCCAGCCGCATACGTCGTTCAATTCCAGCCCTTTCTCTTCAAAGGCATTATCTCGGCAGATTCGGGTCTGACGGGATATAGGTGTGGTGGGATTTCTGCCGCTGCAGTAACCTTCAGGCCCTATCCGACTGCATGATGTTATCTCTGACCCGAGAAAATTGAAATCGACAAGCACTTCGCAGTTTCGTCTACCTATTCCGAGAACCCACAGCCACTGTACATGTCATCCAGTCAAAAATTACAGGCGGCAGATTCGTGCCAAGGCCTCCCGACTAGAAATGGATGCCGATTTTTACTTCTGCCTTTACTTTTGAGATGGTACAAGGTGAACTCTCTACTTTTACGTCTTGAAAATTTTTTTATTGACTGATAGAAGAAGGAAATTAAGTTCAACAAATGCAAAAAAGGAAGAACGAGATGTATACCGAATAGCCAGAAGAAGAGTAGAGTCCGACCATTCTAAAATGAGTAAAGCTCTTATAGCTGTTGATTGGTTGAGGGCTTTTGAAGGCTATACTTCGATCAGTGATTTACACTATTGATTTTGCACGGTTCTACATGAAACCATTGCGCAGTATACACCACTATCCAAACAGAACCACCTGGATATCTTTCCCACATTTGCAATTTGATCAATTAAGAAACTCTTTTTTGTTTGCCCAATTACGTGAACAGATCCTTGCTTCTGAAAAGTTTTCTTGACCTAAACCAACACCAAAAAAATGTCTAACTACGAGCATCTCCTCGCTAAGTAGGGAAACAAAGAATTTTTTTGCTACTATATGGCTAAGGTCAAGGCGGGATGGAAACTTCGTCTTTATTAGACGATCTGCGAAACACTTCCAAGGAAGATCAGGAGAAAACAGATGCCTTGCGGCTTTTCTTTCCAAAAGAGTTTGATCATGGGTTGACGAGGCTTTTGGAGGCTCGAGAGATCATGTATATCCCTGAATCTTGCAGCGGGTGTAAGTTACTACTGAAAGCGATCTCAAGATATTGTGTAAACTCAAATGGCGGTTACGGTCACTTACGATGGAATTCCACAGACAGTGTACAGAAAATGTACTGCTACATTATCTGCACTATCTCCATACTGAGGAGGTTATGCCCAAAATCTGGAAATTTAATCCCTGAAAAAGGAAATTCTAACACTACATTCAGTACTTTTAATCTATCAGCATTATGCCTTCTTCTGGCAAAATTCTTAACCAGGAATGGCTAGATAGTAAACATGTCATCATCCACAACGAAGAATATGGGTTTCTATTTCTATTTTTATTACTTCCTCTTTCCAGCAGCTATGTTTTCGATGCGAAATTTTTGACGAGTGCTGAGGTTAACGCTGGAACTTACAACCACTCATTTTCACCACGTCCATATTTCGCTAATACTCCAAATTTTTCCATGAGACTTTCAGGGAAGCTCCAATAACGAGCAGATAGGGCAAACCTTTTGCCAATCAAAGAATCTTTTCCTTTTTCCTGCTACTCTTTTAGAATATTTTTTAACCAGTGCGTCACCTCCGCTTCGCGGAGGTTCGCACTGGCTCTGCTACCCTGTTGCCTTATTCGTGCTCCCAAAATGATGACTTTGAAACTCACCGCACGATGCTGTACATTATAAATGAATTGTAAACAACTGTTCATTCTTGAAGCATTCCTATGTAAGATCGGTAATTTCGAGAAAGAAAACTTTTTTTGCCAAGAAATAAAACGAACTCGAACAGATTATTGAATTTGTTTTAGCTTATAAATGTTATAAAGGTAATATTCATTTTGGGCTACATTTCCGTGCAAAAATCTTTTCACATTTTGAGATAAAACCTTGCCAAATCGACTCTTTACGCGACCACTACTTTTTGGCGCTGTTTTTGCAGAAAAGCAAACTTTTTGAGTACTTCTTAAGCTAGAATTCTTGGAGCGCAGATCTGCTTGTCAGGCAAATCAGATTTTGCAAAAAGTTGAATTTGTGACCTAGTTTTGCGCGCCAAAAGCCAGGTGGACCCGTTTGAGTCGCAAATTTTAGAGGACCCGCTTATCGAACCGGCTCGTCCTTCTGCATGGTGGGCCTACACGCTGGTACGGTATGCTATGAGCCTATGCATGTGCTTGTAAACGCTGATGTCTTACAGACTAATTTATGCGTTGTAAAGTCAAACTGCTTCTGCTTTGTCCAAAGGTCTGACACGTGTGGCCAGCGCGTTGGAATTCTTGCTTTCCTCATTTGTTAAGTTAGCAATGAACTCACCGAGCATCACGAATTAAATGGGGAAAGCTTTTCATTTCAGATGTACTGTCGTAAGTAACCGGTAGTTTTGTATGAAAGGGTTCTTTCGAACGGAGAACAAATACTTTTTCAGAATGAATACTGAACTTTTGAAAACTCAATAGTTGCCATTATAAAAACTGATAATGTGAGCTACGTCTCTGAGCAAAAATCTTTCAATTTCGTCTTATAGAACCTCTGGAAATCGAAGAAGTGAGCACCTGCCACGTTTTGGCGCCGTTTTCGCATGCGATTAAACTTTTCGTAGTTTTTTGAGTTGCCGGAGAAAATTTTGCGGATTTATATGCTAAACATAATCATAACTTAGCAAAAAGTTTGCATACTGAACTACTTTTGGGGCTAAAAAGAAAAGTGGATCCGTCTGACGTGTGATTTTCAAAGGATCCACTGAACGGATCCGCTCAAGCTTTGGTATATTGGACTCTCATGTTGGTAGCATGCGCTGTGCAAATTTTGGTCTCAAGATATTGGTTGGCAACCGTTCCACGAATTTCGTGACAGACAGACAGACTTACACACACATCCATACAAAAACACGTAAA